CCTGTAAGAATTTCAATAATAAGGTATGTAAAGTCAAGTTCTCATATCACTAAGCACACCCAGCCTTTGATTATATCTAGTTTTTGCTCAAGAGTAAAGCCTTTCTTTTCCTAGCACCATTAAAACTGCCAAAAAAAGCGCAACTCCTCTCAAACATTATCACATGTATCACCCATTGTTGTGGTAACAAAGCAGAAAGCCCACTTAAACACTTTTCCTACTCAAAGCAGTGTTAAATTTCAACAGCATAAGCTCAACGCAAATTGTGTTAATCTGCTGCTACATTATATCCAATCACTGCTATGAAAAGGGAAGTCTGATGCAATAGAGGCACAGAATGGGATTATACCCATATGGGTGGGTCAGGAAGGCGCCCCTGAGGAAGTGGGACTTCAAGGATGAGTAATCCGTTGCCAATTCCATTCCAACTCATGAGTGCCAAAGTAGAACTGACCTCCATATGGTTTACGATGACTGATTTTCCAAAGTAGGTCACCAGGCCCTTCTTCTGAGGTGCCTCTGGCTGGACTCCAACCTCCAACCTTTCAGTAAGCAGCCAAGCATGTTAACCATTTGTACCACCCAAAACTCCTCAGGGATGAGGTAGTCAAGCCAAAGGGGAGAGAAAAGGGGAAAAGTGCTAAGGCAAAGGGAACTACATTTATAAAGTTACAGTTCAAGGAACAGAAACATAGCGGGGGGAAAAAGGGAGGAAAGTGGTATGGGAAATGAAGCTACGAGAGACAAGACTCGGTCTTGTGAGCAACAGAAAAAGTCTGAATTTTACATTATGAGCAGGTGGAAACCACTGAAGTTTTTAAAAGTCACATGACCATGCTTCATTTTAGCTATCTTTCCCCTCAAAGTTGGGCTTCTTAAAAACAGCAGTCCAAGCCTGCTTGTCTGCACTTTTTCCCACCTTCTCAACTCCAGGCAACCTGACTTCTGCACTCCAATGAAATTAGTTTTTAAATTATCTGTTCATCTTCTAGTTGCTAAATCCGAGAGACCTTTCAAAAAAATCTTAACTTTTGTGTCCTATCTGCAGCATGAAGACCTGCTGACCATCAACTCCCTCCACACCTCCTCCAACAATTTTTCCCCATTTTTATGGTTATTACTCTCTAGTCTTTCCCCACAAGCTGTACTTTCTCTGCCTACCCTTGTAAATGCTGTTGTCTGTCAAGATTCTGCCCTTGGCATTCGGCATTTCCAAACCCTCTTACGTTTTCCCTAGGTGATCTCCTCTAAGTCCTTTACCATCTGTGTAAAAGTTTGCGGTTTCCAAAACCATATTTACAGCTCAGACCTCTCTCCTGAACTCCAAATTTACATATTAAACTACTTCCATTTCAATTCCTCGCAATTTCTTACCTCAAAGGGAATTGAACAGTTTCAAAACTGAACATATCTACTCCTTGACATTTGAAATCTGTAGCTCCCTTCCATCCCTCCTACTGTCTTAGTTCAAGAGCTCATCACTTCTCTTCAGGTTTACCCCAGCAGACTCCTCCCTGGGCGAACTACCTACAGTTAGCCACACCCAGCCTATGCAAGTCAGAATGATCTTGCTAAACAGTAAATATGATCATGGTACTTCTGTGCTTAAAATTCCTTTGTGAGTCCCTACTACCTACTTCAAATTGTTTAGTCTGATCTACAAAAACACAGTCGCTGTCAAGTAATCTCTGACTCTTTAGTTATCAGACTCAGCTCTTCCATACCAGACACTGAACCATGCCAAACTGCTAGTAGTTCCCTTACATTCTATGCTGAGCCTTTGTGTACATTTCTTCCTTCTCTGGAACACTGCCTCCCACACCCTTATCCTCTTCACCTAGCCAACCTGTGCTTCAAGACTTAGGTAAGGTTCTCCTCCTCCAGGAAGCTTTGTCAGAACTCCCTGCTGCACTCCTTTTTTGGGACACACAAGACTTGTAGGTACTCACACAGAGTGCTGTGGGAGCAGGGGTTCAAACTGGTTCATTCCCTGATGAAAATTTGCATTTCCACCTCAGATATACTGAATCAGAATCTATAGTTTAACAAGATCTCCAGGTGATTCTTATGTACAATAGATTTTGAGAACCACCACTCTACTAGTGGTTCTCAGAACTGGTCCCTAATCAGCAGCATCACCATAGCCTGGGAACTTGTTAGAAATGCAAATTCTCAGCAGGGGTTTGAACCGTAAGGAACCAGGTTCAAAGCCCTGTGGAAAACACTCTTAGCCAAACTCTTTCCAGACTTGCTTTCCATCACATTCTTGTTTTGTGATCTACTTTGACTGTAACAACAGCATGGCATGATTTCTATTGACCAAGCTACTGCTCTTGTTCTTTCATTATGAAAAGTAGTAAAAGTGCTGACCAACCCACTAAACTAAAAGATTACTAGCCACAAGCCCATGGAAGGGTTTCCTCAGCTCTTTGAAACTGGATGTGAAATTTTCGGTGGATCTAAGTATGTACATTTCCCTGACAAGTGGGATCACAGTTTTCATTGAATTCTCAAGGACATTAATGATTAAAAAAGAAAAAATCAAGCTGCTTTAGCAAAATATGAAGCTGAATTAAGTTGTACTGTTGATCTTTCCCGTCTCAAATCTGTATTTCGATATATTAAATGCATCTTGGAGACAGCAGCCTCTCCTCTGTTAAACCAACTATAATATAACTAGAGAATGCACAGCTAGCAGGGTCTCACCATAAAGATTCCTACTAGAATTTGCATTTAAGACTTTCCACAATTGGAGGAGTCCTTAACAGCGTGTTTTAAAAGTTAATACCCTATTCTAACACACTCTGTACTGATATGAATAAGAGAATTTACAATACTTCCTGCTAATGTGTTCTAGAAGAAAATACTATACATTCTGAACATAACGACAAAGAAAATGTTTTTTACCGTCATCTAATTAAATGGAATGGAGGGGAAAAAAAATACTAAGACCCTCCAGATTTACATGAAAGCCCTTTTTTCCCTTTTACTGTACACAAAATGAATCAAGCAGCATTTAACTCACCACTCAATCCAATCTTGGGAATTAAGAGTAGGGAGTAGAAAATTAAATGAATGTTAAAAAGATAAAAAGTTTTGTGTGAATTAAAGGCTACTCCAGTTGAAGACCGAATCCAGTACAACTAGATGGTGCCTGGCTACCACCGACTGCTCTGACAGGGATCACAACAGAGGGTCCCGGACAGAGCTGGAGAAAAATGTAGAGCAAAATTCTAACTCACAAAAAAAGACCAGACCTACTGGCCTGATAGAGACTCGAGAAACCCCGAGAGTATGGCCCCCGGACACCCTTTTATATGAAGTCACTCCCGAGGTTCACCCTCCAGCTAAAGATTAGACAGCCCAATAAGACAAAATGAGACTAATGGGGCATAACAGCCCAAGGACAAGGACTAGAAAGCAGGAGGGGACAAGAAAGCTGGTAATAGGGAACCCAAGGTCGAGAATAGACAGTGTTGACATGTCGTGGGGTGTTAACCATTGTCATAAAACAATATGCGTACTGTCTGATGAGAAACTATTTGTTCTGTAAGCCTTCATCTAAAGTACGATAAAAAATAAAGAAATAAAAAAAATAAAAGATACTCCGGTTGACGTAAAGAAGCTAGTCCCTGGGATCACAACAAAAGGTCCCAGACAGAGCGGGAGAAAATTATAGAATAGAAACTCAAACTCGCAAAAAAGACCAGACTTACTGGTCTGAAAGACTGGAGGAATCCGAGACTACGGCCCTAAGACACCCTTCTGACCTGGAAATGAAGCCATTCCCAGAGACCACCTTTCAGCCAAACAACAGACAGGTCCATAACATAAACAGTAACACCCAAGAGGAACGTGTTCCTTAGATCAATTATATATCAAAAGGACAACATTTGCCCTAAAGCAAAGATGAGAAAGGAGGAAGGGGTAGAAAATGGGGAGGAAAGAAAATGGGGAACCCAGGGAGGAAACGGGGAGAGTGCTGACACGTTGAGGGGAATCAAATCAATGTCTTGGAACACTTTATAGAATGGGAAACTAATTTGCTCTGTAAACTTTCACCTAAAGCAAAATAAAATTAAAAAAAAAAAAAAAAGCAGCAGCAGCAGCTAGTCACAGAAGAGTTCATACCGTATGATTTCATTTATAAGAGTTCCAAAAGAGGCAAGATGATTCTGTGGGACAGAGGTGGTTTACGGAGCGGGAGAAAAGGTGATGGTACCTTCTGGGGTAAAGGAAATGTTCTTTATCTTGATTTGAGTGATGCTTGCACGGGTGAATAAACTTGTGAAACTCGCTTAAGTATATACATAAGATGTGTGCATTTTACTGTAAAGTATACCTCTAGTCAGCAAAGTACAACGAGAACGATACTCTATATCATTTCTTTTAAAAATACAACCGAACTCTACTTCCGTTCCAGAAAGGCACTTTGTGGAGGACAATCCACACGCTGAGACCCCGAGCTCTGAGAACGTTCAGACTGCATGACCCCGAACCTCTCACCGCCACGAAGGTTTAGGCCCTGCCACGACGAGGGGACTGCGAATTACACACGACCAACCGCAGGTAGCGCCACCAACACCGCGCCCCGCCTTCCGAAACCGGGACCGGGTACCCTCGAGGGCCCCCAGCCCGGACACAACCCGCCGGCCGGCAGCTCCGGGCGGGGCGGCGAGCTGGAGCCCCATGCCCGCGAAACGCAGAGGGCCCACCCGCGCCACCGCGAGGCGCCGCTGTGGCACCGACTTCCAGAGCGCATTCTGCGCTTGCGCTTACGAAGAGTATCCGCATTTAAAGTCTTTTTTTTCCTTCCAAAAGGGGGAAAAGAAAGTATCTGCGCCCGCCCCACGCCCGCCCGCCGAGCGGCCCGGCCACTTCCGCCTGCGGAGGGAAGAGGCGGGGAGGCAGCAGAGGGTAGCCGGGCAAGCTCGAGCCCGCGTTCCCGGGGGTAGAGGAAGGTGGGAAGCGCAGCCGCCGTGTTTGCCCCTGCGACTCACCAAGTACAGCTGCTGCCAGCAGTTCTGAGCATCCAGCTCGTCAAACTCCTGCTCGACGGTGAGGGACATGGCGGCCGGAGCGACGGACGAGAAGGAAGCCGCCGGTCACCGAGAGGCTCATACCCCGCTCCGATCCAAGGAACGCGAGACGCCCGCGGGCGCATGCGCGGCGCGCGGCCGCCCTCCCCGTCCCCACGTCCCGGCCGCTGGCTGTGGGGAAAGTACCTGGGGCGTAGGACGTCAGCGCGCCGACCCGGCGCTGGAGCCGCACGGGTGGGCGGTGCGGGCACGCGGCGCACAGGAGGGGGGCATCCTGTGGGCGCGCAGGTGCGGAGGGCGGGCCCGAGCCCCCTTCCCCCCCTCGCCCCCGCCTAGCGACAGTGCTGGGAAGCTCGGCCGGAGGTGCCCCGCCCCCGGGCCTGCGCGGACGGGCGGAGGTGGGGCGTGGGTATTGCAATTTTTTTTTATTAAATAATGCGGTATTTGAACTTTGTTTTGAACATCATCTAGATAGTTTGAATGTGGCCCACTTTGGAGCAAATTTTTCAGCCTTCTTGGAGAAAATAACCCACCCCCAACGCCAGCTCTTCCGCGCCTGCGGCTTTTTATGCCAAAAGACCGCTAGAGCAAGAGGGGCAACCTCTCCTGGAGTTTAGGAGAATACATCTCGTTAAGAAAACATTCCACAACTTAAAAATGACCTATGAAAAGAAGAAATCCTTTTTTATCCAAATTTGCTCATTATGGAAATCCTCTTGTTTCAAGTTAAGATAGTTGTTAGTGAACTCATGCTTGTAATATTGAGGATGCTTATTGTATCATCTTCATAAGAAATGTGAAGGGTTAGAAAAAATTTACCTGTGCTGTCCAATGTTGAAATAATCAAATGAAATTAAAATTTTAATTTTTCAGTCAGACTAGCCACATTCAAGTTTCTGATCGTCATATATTGCAGAACGCACATACAGAACAATTGTATCATCATAGAAAGTTCTTTTTGAGCAGCAAGGTCTGAGACGATTAAAATTCTTGGGGCAGAAAAATGTCCTTAAACATCCCCGTTGCCGTCGAGTCAATTCTGACTCATAGCGACCTATAGGACAGAAGAGAACTGCCCAATAGGGTTTCCAAGGAGCAGCTGGTGGACTCGAACTGCTGACCTCTTGGTTAGCAGCCCAGCGCTTAACCACTGCACGACCAGGGTTCCAACAAAATATAGTACTAGTGAAAAATTAAGGATCCCTGGTGGCCCAGTGGTAAAGCGCTCAGCTGCTAACTAAAATGGTGGTGGTTCCAACGTACGCAGCGGCTCAGAAGAAGAAAAACCTGAAGCTCTGCTCCGGTGAAGATTATATAGCTTAGAGAACTCTATGGACTTGCTATGAATTGGAACTGCTGCCCAGAGCCACTGTTACCCAGAGGCTACCCGAACAAAGACCTGGAGATTTAATTCTGAAAAATTAGCCTTGAAAATCCTATGGAACACTGTTCTACTCTAACACACACGGGGTCGCGATGAGTCGGAGTCCACTCCACAGCAACTGATGGAAGATTAAGCAGTCAACCAGCCTTTTCTTCCTACATTGTTTAATTTGGGAATACATAGAGTTCCCTTAAACACACACACACACACACACACACAAAATCTCTAATTGTCCTGGTTCCTGAAGCTCTGTCACTGTAACTAATTATTTAGAATAAAGGCACAGATTCTCCCAGAATACCCTATAATTGTTGGCATCAATCAAGTACTTCCGCAAAGGGACTAGCTCATTAGATTGCTTTCCAACCTGAAAATATTCACTCTTCTACCAAAGAATGTTGTCCACTTAATAAAATCAACTGAGACCCTCCAATGTTGGTAATGGTGGGGGTATTCCACTGAAAAGACCTTCATCTAAAGTACAATAAAAAAATTTTTTAAAAAAGCTCAATTGAAACACTTCAAAAAAAAAAGTAACTTGCTTCTAGGTATTTTATATATAAGATATGGCTTGTTCTCTCTGGCATGACTTCCAACCCAACTCCTTCCTAGCTTGCCTGTATTTAAACCCACTGCCTTCAAGTCGATTCTGACTCACAGAGACCCCGTAGGGTTTCCAAGGCTGTAAATCTCTACGGAAGCAGACTGCCCCCTCTTTCTCCTGCCGAGCTGCTGGTGGTTTCGAACTGCCGACCTTTCAGTTAGCAGTCGATTGCTTTAACGACTGCCTGCATTTAGCATGTGCCTTATTAGCACCCATTTCCAAGGACCGCAAACCAAGACTTTTGCCCTGTTTGAGGTCAAAATCAGTAGTTCTCAAGATTTTTAAGTATCAGGTTGCCCTTTTGCCCTCAAACTTTTTAAAGTCTCCATAGTAGGTTTACTTTTATGTACACACTTTTTTGAATATTTGAGAAAATACAAAATGATCAAAGTCTACTATGAATCTAGCAATTCTTTTAGATGAATTTGTATTTTTTGAAAAGCTTGGGATATTTATTCATTTTACAGCTAATGCCTGGTGGAAAGTACGTCCAGATTTATAGCAATGTCTTCAACCTAGTCCTTGGCCCTTTCAGCCTGTGCAGCCCACAGGTTGGGGACCACTAGTCTAGATCAAAGGAAATGATGCATAGCAAGAATTTGGAGTCCCTTCTTTCTTCTAAACAAGACATGCCTTCTGAATTTCAGTTTCCTACCTAAGAAGCTCCTCTTCCCCAAATGATTAACATCATAAATTTAGATCCAGTTGAGGGAAAACTCTCTTTACTACCCATAGATCCTAAACTAGAACTTCAAAGGGATCAACATAACAAAATACAGGCTAAAAACCTAATGTCCATACAAGAGATGTACATGTACAGAGCTAGGCAGACATTTGTTTGGTTGTATAGATTTCAGTGATTATGGAACATCAAGTAAGTATGTATTTTTTTAAATGACCCTTTTATTGAAATATATATGCAGAAATGTACACAAATCATAAATGTACAGGGAGTTTTCACAAAGTTGTTGTTAGTTGCTGTCGAGTTGGTTCCGACTCATAGCAACTCTATGAACAACAGAACAAAATAGTGCCCAGTCCTGCACCATCCTCATGGTCGTTGTTATGATTGAGCCCATCGTTGCAGCAACTGTGTCAATCCATCTTGTTAAGGGTCTTCCTCTTTTACGCTGACCCTCTACCTTACCAAGCATGATGTCCTTCTCCAGGGACTGGATCCTCCTGATAACATGTCCAAAGTATGTTAGACAAAGCCTCGCCATCCTTGCTTCTAATGAGCATTCTGGCTGTACTTCTTCCAAGACAGATTTGTTTGTTCTTTTGGCTGTCCATGGTATATTCAATATCCTTTACCAACATCATAGTTTCAAAGAACCAATTCTTCTTCAGTATGCCTTATTCATGCCCAGCTTTCCCATGCATATGAGGCGACTGAAAACATCATAACTTGGGTCAGATACACCTTAGTCCTCAAAATGACACCTTTGTCCTTCAACACTCCAAAGAGCTCTTTTGCAGCAGACTTGCCCAATGCAATGCGTCCTTTGACTTCTTGACAGCTGCCTCCCTGGGCATTGACTGTGGATCCAAGTAAAATGAAATCCTTGAGAACTACAATCTTTTCTTTGTTTATTATGATGTTGCTTATTGGTCCAATTGTGAGGATTTTTGTTTTCTTTGTGTTGAGGTGTAATCCATACTGAAGGCTGTAGTCTTTGATCTTCAGCAATAAATGCTTCAAGTCCTCTTCACTTTCAGCGAGCAAGATTGTGTTATCTGCATAATGAAGGTTGTTAATGACCCTTCCTCCAATCCTGATGGTCCATTCATATTCATATAGTTCAGTTTCTCAGATTATTTGCTCAGCATGCAGATTATAAGTATGGTGAAAGGATACAACCCTGACTCACACCTCTCCTGACATTAAACCATGCAGTATGCCCTTGTTCTGTTTAAACAATTGCCTCTTGGTCTATGTATATGTTCCTCATGAACACAATTAAGTGTTCTGGAATTCCCATTCTTCTCAATATTATCCATAATTTGTTATGATCCATACAGTCAAATATCTTTGCATAGTCAATAAAACACAGGTAAACATCTTTCTGGTATTCTCTGCTTTCAGCCAGATGGCTGCCCCTGAGTGTCTGGGTAGGAAAGCGTGTCCCTGTTCCATACAGCACGTAAGTGGGTGGGTTTTGCAGCCAGACTATGAGCACCCAGTGCTGTTGGCTGTGAGGACTGGGAGGTACCACTTACTCTTGGACCCCTGTCGTGAGTGGCTAGGTGGTGTGGGTGAAGCTACCAGTCGTCAGGCCCCTGATGTGGGTAGATGAGGACCATGCTTAATGATCAGAGCACTGGCAAATGTCACGAACCTGCCACTTCACCATATAGCTGATTCGGCTGAGGTTAGGCTTCAGGTATACACCCTGTTGTACTGTGGTAATGAGGGCCTATGCTGCTGAAATGGGCCCACACAGGTCTATGCAGGGGTGAAAGGCATTCAAAGTCTTTGGCCCCCTTATGCCTGTGCCTAGGGAAAGGAGCTGTGCCTACCCTGAATTCCCGGCTTAGGGAAGCTGGCAGATTACTTTTTCCTGTTTGTTAATTTATTCCCTTTCCAAGACTGGGAGAATGGCTCAGGGCACATTATGGGTCTCACTTCCAGCAAGGGGACTCCGCAATAGCTGAAGCTGGCCCAGGACAGTGCAGAGTGGGGAGGGGACAGGTGAATGGGAGAGAGGTTTTTCCCAAAGGGGGTGTTTTTTGATATGCGCAGTAAGTCAGAGGCACGTACTTATCTTTTGCCAATTGAGCACCGCTCCTCGCTGGTTTCCAGAGGCCCAAGTAGACTCTCTTCTGCTCTATCTCTGCCGATGTGGAAAACGCCTCCTGAGCGCCACTGCTTGCCTCACCATGCACGCCAGCCTATCTGGCCTGAAGGGGGACAGCTCCTACTGAGTCATGTCTGGCAACTCCTCGCTGCTTCTGAACCGTTTCTTCCTCCCCCTGCCACTCAGTCTGATTCCTCAACTTTGCCTTCAGTGGTCAGAGCTCCTAGATTGTCATATATAGTAGATTCACTTGTTTTTTCGGGTCTTTGTTGTAAGAAGGACCACAGGAAGAGTCTGACTACTCTGCCATCTTGGCCTTGCCTCCCGCAGAGTCT